GCACCGCCGGGGACTTGCAGCTGGGGCAGGTGCTAAGATCGATCTGAATGGTCCTGGTGTGGAGATTCAAGGCTCTGTGGCCATAGCTGGAGAGGAAGAAACTGAGGGCACATACAAGAAACAGCCGTCTTCCTTCTCACAATCTGTCGAGTTCAGGGGCTTAGCAGATGCAAGTCTCTTCCTGAAGTGTTGGCAGTGGAGAGTGTAGAAGGACTGGATGTCAAGAATTCCTGGCTCACAAGTTTATGCTTTCATGCCCCACTCCCTGCCATACCAGCACCCTGGTGGCATCAGCTTGGCCATGCGATTAGCCTGACAATGAAATGTGAACGCAGGTGATCTTACCCATTCCCAGAAGACACTGCAGGACTGTGGCTGGGCTCTGCGGATACCCCTCATCCTTTTCTTGTGGCTGGAGATGCTCAGTGAAGAGCAGCTCCCCGGTCTGGTCTTTGATGGCTATGGCGTGGAGCAGGAGTGTGCTGGATATTGACACCCATGACCGCAAGCAGGAGTTCAAATCTGGCCGAGTTCAGTATTGAACTCTGGGGGTCTATATAGGGATATCTGGTCTGAGCTGGCTGGTGGAGTTTATAAACAGACTCAAGAGAGACATGGGTCGTGAAGCTTAAAGCTGGGGTCCCACTCCATTGCCTCTGCCTGGAGCCAGGAGTCCTAGAGCCTCATGGGGTGCAGTCAGATCTGCTCATCACCCCACGCCCTGGCACTTGAGGAGCTTCTCTGCCTGGGCTGTGTCTGTTCCCGGGGAGCCTTACCTGATGGTCTTGTCTCCACACCTCAAGTTCCATAGATCCCTTGATACATGCTGCCCTCCCCAGATAGTGTGAACGCCGAGGATGAGACGCTGGGCCCTGTAGGATCTCTCCTGTCACGTCCTTTCTGCTCTGTTGAAGTGTAGTCGAGAGTGTCTTGTCCCTCATACCTCAGGATGCCCGTCCCTTGTCATCTTCATGGCTTAGTTAACGCCTATCCTGAGAACCTAGTGAAGGTCCGCCTCCCTTCCGAGATCTTCCCTAAGGCTCAGAGCATTCTGGGAAATTGGGGAGGGAGAGGTTTTCCCTCTAGTTTCTACCCTAGGTGGTCTCTGTGTCCTGATTCTTTTTGGTGGCTCTCCCCACTATGGCTGCCTCCCTCCTGGCTGGCCTGCGGTAGAGACACCTGCCTCCACCCCACATTGCTTTATACCACCTGAAGTGGCACCTGCTTTATACCACGAGGCACCTGAAGTTTGGTAGAGCAGACAGAATTGCAACACTGCGCAGAAACCATAGATTGCGGAGCTCACAACAGTTGGGAAAAGAAAGGATTAACTGGGCGCTGGAGCACTTTCCCCCAAGGGGCTTCCTCAGCTCTCCGGATGGGGTTCCCCAGCCTGTGTCTGTCCACCTAGGAAAGGTTCACTTTCTCTCCTCTCCAGCTTCAGACTCCTACCCCTCCCAACCTGGTAGTGCCAGGAAACACTTTTCAGTTGTGCCCCTTTGCAAGGCCGGTGGGTCCCCTTGTCTGTCATTCTTTCCCATCTAAACAGAAGTAGACAAAGCTGTCGCCTGGAGCTGCCTGAAAGCTTTACAAGGAGGGGCATATTCCTGCTGGGACAGACTGGGCGGCCCTCTTTCCTCCTGCAGCAGGACCCAAAGCATTGGGGGCTCCATGGCTCAACTCAAGTCGAGGGAGCCCCTGTCCCCATCTCTGCATGCAGCACATTGTGTCAGACGGGGCAGGTGAGCAATTTCCTTTGCTGGCCCTGAGCTACAAGCTGCCTGTCCTGTAGCCATTTTGCTGGTGGGCGTGTCTGTCATCTTCACTCTCTGACAGGCTAGCCTGGCTCCCGCCTGAGCTCAGCAGCAAGCAGCCTTGCTTGGAGACAGCTGGGATGACAGGAAGGATTCCAGAGCCCCCAGCACAGAACCTGTCTGAGAAGGCAAGGTGACTTTTGGGGGAAGTAGAGAGGCAGAGGAGGTGGGGAAGACACCTGTGTGAACACTTTGAGGAAACTTATAATGATTTTAATCAGCATTTTTCCTTCCATTTAAAACCCCAAACTTAGCTACTTAATCAAATGTCATGCTTAAGACACATTTACCTCCTTGGGAGAAAAATGAACAATGGCAGCTCAATTTGGCTTTGCATGAGTTTTAAAAATAGTCTGGGAAGGCCATTAGGTAAATGGCCTCAGAGAGCTTCAAGGAGGACCTCCTGCAGGGCCACGGCTCCTTTGTTGGGAAACCGGGAAAGGGAGAGGTGAGGATGGTTGGCAGTTCCAAGAGGGGATGTCTGCCAGGCAGAAGGGAAGCTGCCAGAAGCCACAGGAGGACCTGCACTTTGCACAGAGACATCAACAGGGATCCTGTCTGCACACTGAGGCTGGCAGACATGGGCGTGTGTATGGATGCATGCGCGTGTGCGTTTGTTCATCCGCATATGCATGTGCTCATGTGTGTGCATGAGCACATGTCTGTGTGTGCACCTGTGTACCAGCACACATGTGTTCGCATGCATTCATGCACTTGTGAGTGCACACATGTGTATTACGTGGAGTGACACATGTCCGCCCTCCCAGCCAGCTCTCAAGGAGAGAAAAATAAACCAGCTAGTTACATGAGAGCCTTGAACTCCAAGGAACAGGCCACACACATGGTGAGATGGAAGTTTTATTGCTTTTGCAACTGTAAAGCAATCGAGAGATGAAGAAAAACAAAGAATAATACATAAGGGCTTCCTTGGGGAGGTTTGGATGTGAGTCATCCCAGGGAAAACTGAAGATACATGCCCACGTGCCCAGGTTCCAGGTTCTAAAAGGGTACATCAAGTCCTAATGGGGATGAGGGTCTCCTCCCTTGCCTAAATGGAGAGGTCCCATTTGCATTACTGTGGTCTGTCCACCTTTTTCTGGAGAATTCTGCCATTTAATGGACCCATCCTTGCTTGCAGAAAATGCTTCTAGCCGCTGCTTTATCCAGCCCCTCCCTGTCAGGATAGCATCCATTAGGTCTTGAAACATGGGCAAGCAAATGTGATCTTGGCTTAGTTAACTCTCATTGACGTTGAGTATTTCCTTGAGTCATGACTGTAGGTGGCTGACTGAAGGCTGAGTGGTACCAGTGACATCAGACGGAAGCCACAGGCATTTTGTAGGCAACTGAGGATGTAAGTATCTCCGGGTGTGTCTGGCTGTCAGTTTTATTGGCATTTGCTAGTTGCTTATTTGATGTGTCAACAAGAACATACATTGTTAAGTCGCACGCTGGCTTCATTCATCTGCTTCTGTGCACGTTCTGGGGAATGAACTTGTGGTCTCGCCCTGGCTAAGCACAGGGTCTTCATCCAGCTTCATCCCAACTTTGATTCATTAATCATTGAGAATGCATTTCAATAACATCGTAAACTTAATCAGGATGCACCTACCCCATTCGAAGAGGGCAGTGGAGCTTGTAAGGCTGGGAAGGGTCTGTAGAAGAAACCAGGTCAGAGCCCCACCCGCTCCCCTACCCCCCAGCCACCTGGCTGCCAGGCTGTTAAGATGCCACCGGCAGGATTCCTCAGGCTGCTGGAAGGTCCTCCCTTGAAGCACTCTGGCTTCTCCCGCTAGGTGGCAGCAGTGCAGGCATCTGCTTCCTAGTTGGTAACTGGGTCCAGCTTGCTCTCTGAGGACCTCCCTGTCTCCTGGCTTCCTAAGATCATCTCACAGCCCATCAGGACCAGGGCTCCGAGGGAAGATGGCCCAGAAGTGGCCAGACAAAGTGCTGAGTCACCTGGGTGTCTCTGGACCACAGACTGGCACCTTGCTATTAACAGTTGCACGTGTGCCTGGCAAACTCATTTAGTTCTGATTAAAACCTCCAAAGGGAAGTGACAGGAAACAGGTCTTGAGGAGGAGAAGGCCAAGAGTTAGAGAGGTTGCATAATACAGCCAGGACCCCAAGACAGTGACACCCGGTACCCATGTCCAGGCTCATGCTACCATATTGGTCTTGAGAGGGAAAACAGAACCACTTCCGTCCTGTTCAGCCTGGGTGGGGAGGAATCTCTGGCTGTATAAAACCTTGGGCTGGAGGCTGGGGGGAAGGGCCTGCCTGGGGCTCACTGTGAGTCCCAGCCAGACTCTGTTGGCTCCTCCTCCATCGGTAACCCTCCCAGGGAGGCCTCACCCTCTCCTAGGGGGTCAGAACTGGGCAGAAGCCACTACAAGCAGCACTCTGCGAAGTCCGGTCTCGCATCTTTTTACCCTCCTGGTTTTGGTTCTCATGTCTATGTAGGAAGGCTGCTGGCTGCAGCTCATTTCCAAGGCCCTTCCTTGACTTTGCACTTTTCGCCCTCTGTGTGTTAAGTTCAAAGTTGGGTTTTGCCCCGATAGTTCCCCAGGGACCCAGCAGCTCAAGCCTCCATGGGAGACTCTGCCTCCTCCGTGTCACTTCTGTCAGAGAAAGCGGACCTCAGAGTGCCTGTCTTTCACTAACCGGCTATGCAGATACGACTAACAAGGTAAGGCACCAGGAAGTGCTGGGTCGGGGAGTGGACAAGATTTCTGAGAGCCTGGGAGACCCAGGTTCCGAACTCTTTGGTTCTGAAAAGGCGGCAGTTGCCATAAAATCAGGAAGGACGACACTGGATTGGAGACTAAATAACCGGGCAGAAACACGCTCCAACCGAACGCTGAAACTTCATCTGCCTGGACGGAGGCCAGGCCCAGGCAGTGGGGAGAGCTCCCCTGCGGAGGACCCTCCCCAGCCTCCCACAGTCTCTCGCATCACCAGCGCCACGCAGCTCCGCTGGAGGAAACTTTCGCGCAGCCCTGTCTCCCGGAGCCCCACGAGAACGTCCCCTCCCCAAATCAGCCCTCCGGGTCCACTGGGCGTACTTAGAACCGGGTCCGAACCTCTTAACTGCTTCGCATACCATCCGGTTACCGTGGCAACACCATCCGGCGGCGCCCAGCGGTCCAATCGGAGCCTGCGGCCTCTTTCGAGCCTTTCCCAAGGTGGAGACCGGGACGCGGCTAGGGATGGGGAAGGGGCGGGCCAGAATCCTGTCTCCGGCGCCGCCCAGCCCACTCAGAGCCCAGGTCGCCAGTTCAGCTCCAGGGAGGTGGGCTGGAGAGCAGAGCTTGCCGGCCGGGTAGGGGGGCTCAGACTCCTGGTTGAGGGGCGGGGAAGGAGGGTGACGTGAGCCCGGCCGGGCGGGAGGAGTTGGGACCCGCTCGCGGAGGCGGGGGCAAGCGCCCAGAGGCAGACGCGCAGAGGGAGGCGGCCAAGCGGCGCGGGCGGCTCTGCGGAGGGCGCGGTGGGCGCGGGCGGCGGGGCCCGGGATCCCCGCGCGCCTCCTCCGCGCGGCGCCGCCGCCGCGCGTCCCCACGCCCCGCGCTCCACGCGCCCTCGCCCCGCGCCTCCCCTGCCCGCCTCCTGTCAGCCTCCCGGCCGCAGCCGTCTGCAGAGCGAGCGCTCAAACGAAGCTCTCCAGCAAGTTGATCGGTGGCAGAACCTGGGACGGATCCCCCCAGCCCTGATCCGGCGGCGCGTGGAGGCAACCCGCGTGGGCCAGAGGGGTGATCCTCTAAAACCCCGGCCACGCCGATCACAGCCTCGCAGGTCATTGCACGGTGCGCCGCGCCACCGGCTTCGTTGCCTGCCTCCCCGGAGGGCAAAGCCGCTCTCCTCGGACCCTCGCGGCCAGCTTCGTCGCCGGTGACAGCTCCAGAGAGCGCCCGCTTCGTCGCCGCCCGCGCTGTGTGACCTGCGGAGGGGCCCCGCGCCCCGACACCCGGCAGGAGGATGTGCGTCCCCGCGGGCCGGCCCGCCTGAGCGATGCGCCCCCTCGGCGGCGGCGCGCCGGCCGGCATGGAGCCCCGCGCGGCCGCGCTCTGACTCGCTGTGCGCCCCGCGGCCGGCGGGCGGCGGCGGCCCGAAGCCGGAGAGCGGCGCCACGGGACGGGAGCGAGCGGGCGCGGGCGCCGCGCAGATGGCCGGGGCAAGCAAGGTCTGAGGCTCGGTTTCCCGAAACGTGACCATGTGGATCCAACAGCTTTTAGGACTCAGGTGAGCGACTCGTCAGGAGGCAGAGTGCGTGGGGGTGCGTGGGTGCTGGGCTGGGCTGCTGCTCACTGTTGCAAACGATGGCACCGCTTCTCGCCTCCCGAGGCGGCCCGCGTGGTGCACCCGAAGCCGCGCAGCGTGGCCGCCCGCCGCTGGTTCCTGCGGCCAGGCAGGGAGCTCCGCGAGTCTGGGGTCGCTTGCCCCAGTGACCTGGAAGCTAGGCGCGCCCGCGGCTCGGGACGCCAGCAGCGCAGTGTCCTGGCCCGTGGCCCCGGCGCGCCTCCTCTCGAGAGCCCGGCGCGAGTTGCGGGCCGTTGGGCGCGGCGGTCTCGGGGGCCGAGGCTGACGCCGGATCCGCCGGAGAGAACCACCAGCCTTCCCAGTTCCCGAGCCAGCTTTGCCACTGAGTTGGAGGAACGCAGAACCCCACAGCGGCTCCGCCAGCCGTTCTGTCTGTTCCTTGGGACCCTGGGGGCCCTGAACAGAAGTGTAGTAAGAGCTCAGCTGCCGACCCAGCTGCTTTGGGGGTGACCTCCTGGCAGAAGGTCGCACGCAGCTGGCGGACAGCTGAGTCTGGAGAGCTTGGATTCTGGGGAGCAATAACAGGCAACCCCCTTCCAAGCACCTTTCACAGACACACAAGCTCACAGGGCTTGTCAGTGTCTGGGACATTAGGGCCAGGAGGAACTCAAGCCCAGCGCGGTTATGGGGCCGGCTAGAAAGACCCTTCTGAAAACTTTGACCACCCACTGAGTCGCTTTGGCTTCTCTGGATCCTGCCCTGGGCGGCCAAGGGGTACCCAAGACGTAGTTGCCCCTTTTGCAGAGCGCAGTGCCTACCACCCTTGCCCTCATGAAGGGGGTCTCTGGCCAGAGCTGGTGCGCTTGGGTTGGGGGTGGGACTTAGGCTGAAACGCAGATGGAAGCAGAGAAAGGCTACTTGCGCTTCTAGTGTTTGTCCACTGGGATGCACTGCGCTCCCGTGTTGAGCATACAAGGGGTTGGTGGCTGCTGGAGCAGGCAGCCTCTGCAACCCCCACCAGCACGAAGCTGGGGAGAAAGTGGGGCCAAAGGAGGGAGGAACATGTGTGCGACCTGATTTTGAGAAGTCTGAAGGAGACTGGCATGCGAGTGTTTTCTCGCTGGCCTTGATTTATGAGTGAATTTGGTGCCTGGGAATAGATGTTGGCCGGCATCATCTAGTGAGGGCTGTCAGGCGTCATTACTGGCGTTCCTTTTCCTGGTGGCTGGGTTTGTTTGCGCTGTGGGCTTTAAGACGTTAATCGCCAGCCTGATCGGCTGAGTGTGGGGCGCTGGCTGAGCCTCAGTCCACCATTGGACTGTGGTGAGATAAGGTTTAGCCCCCCCCCACAGTTTTGGGGTGTGGACCAAAGGAAACAAGACCAGCTCTTGACCCCCATCTAGGTGCCCGGTCTGTCTGTCTGTCTGTCTGTCTGTCTGCCTGCCTGTCTGCCTGTTTGCTCTTCTGGTCTGGACTGTCCAGTTCCCCGTTAGATCCCAGGGTCTCGAGGGCAACCCAGAGGATCCCCTCCCCGCCCAGAGGCAGCTTGAGTTCCTAGCTGTTTCGGGAGCCGCAGTCAGTCACTTGCTTGCTGGTGGCAACTTACCTGCACAAGTTGTTAGATTGAAGGGTTAGTACATTCTGATAAGGCGGAGAGAACAAACACCAGCAAAGAAATCTCCTTTGGGGGTTCAAAATTCACTTAAACCGCTACCGTAGAACAACACTCGCCGAGCCAGGTTTTCAGAAATGCTTCTGTTGGGAATTTTGAAGTTTGACCTTTTAGGGTCCCTTGCATGTTAGCATGTAAGATTTTATACACATGCATGCCGCCACCTGCCTCCCACCCCAGGAAGGGCTGCTACCTCTGAGCAATCCTGAGCAAGTGTTCACGGCAGGGGAGCAGGGGGATTTTGTTTCCCTCTGGGCAGGCACAGGGAGCCCGAGCCCAGGAGTTTGCACTTTGGCTCTGCAGCTCTTTCATCTCTTGCTGACTGCTTCCCTCTGCTCCCTGGGTGAGCACTGGACACCTTGCTGCCATGCTTGGAGCCTGGTTGGGCCGAGGTGGCGGAAGGCAGCCTTCCTTCTGCCTGGGAATAGGTGGTTCCCTGTAAGCCCAGGGAGGGGCTTCCTAGCTCCCACCCAGAGCCAGGGTTGGTTACTTCTGCAATGAAGCCAAACTGTATACGAAGCCTTGATGCTTTAGGAGGCAGGAGCAGATGGAGTTGAATTTTCCTGCTTTTATGTCTTTATTTATTTATTTGTTGGTTATTTGTATCTGGGCTTCCTTGGGTCCAGAGGAAGACAGTCCTTGAAGGAGGCTTGGGGCTTGCTGGGCTGAGTCCCTGAGCAGCTCAGAGGGTTTGCTTAGTCAGCAGGCAGCCCAAATCCCCAGATCTGATCCTGGTGGCTGGTTGCCTCTGGTGGGGCTGTGGTCTGAGGAGACTGACCTCATGGGGTTGTGTGGAGTAGCTGGGAGCAAGCACCCACAACGTTTGCTGGGTTGTGTTCAGGACTAGGCATACAATCACGGACTCAACCCTGCTCAAGTCTTGTTCCTCACAGGCATTCCCGACTCCCAAGCCTGAACTTTCGGCATCCCTTCTGCGAGGAAAGTCCCCTAGTACATGTTCAGAACGCAATTCACAGTTTTCTCAAGCCCTCCCAGTGTGTGCTGTGCTGTGTTGTGTCTGGGCTTCCAGGCAGGGATCCACTGGGCTGGCTGTCACCAGCCCCAGCACAAAGTCCCCCCAGCAGCTGGGGCTGCGCAGCCAGGTTTTAGTGGATGGAGTCAGTGCTCTGTCCGCAAACACTGGGCGCAGGGTGAATGCTGGCTCACTCTCCTTTACAGCTGCTGCTGCTAACTGAATGGCAACTGGAACCCATCTCGGGTCAGAGGCCGTGATACTCCTCTGGATAATAATGCTGGAATAAATGGTAAATTTAGGAGGTAGCGGAGGGTTTCCAGCAACATCAGCACACCCCACTCCTCTCTCTCATCCTTGGGCCAGCTGGAGGATTTGGTAGTAGACACCCCCTTCCCTGTCCGTCTCTATTCATTTACTGATTCCCCCCTTCTCTTCTGTGCCTTGGGGAAGGGGGCAGAGCACACAAGCAGCTCTACACCTCTCTGAGATGTCTACCTCCGGTCCCCAGAGAAGGGGCAGCTTGCTTATCCCTCTGTGTGCCTGCGTTCTCCTAGCTGGGATCCCTTGGGGGCTAGCTGCCTCCCACCCAGCCTCAATGTCTTCTCTGACCCTGACAAAGGCAGGGTGTTTGTCAGACATTGCCCCGAGCATGCCGTGGAAACCTGGGTTCTTACAGAGCCTATGGATTTGGAACCCCGAGCTGTGGGTCTCCTGAGCCTGGGGCTTTTCTCTAGTGGTTATGTGGGAGTCACATGGTTTTAATACACCGTTGCTAGGTTTGCTTCAAAGGGTTACAAGTCAGTAGAGACCAAATTGATGTAAAGATTAGCTGAGAAAGCCAAATATATCCCTGATCTAGATTCCTGCGTTTGAAGTCTGGCTGGAGAGGGTTTTGCTTGCCTCCTGCCTGGCAGACCGAGAAGGGGAGGCAGGCTGGGGGCTTGTGGGTCTAGAGAAGTTGAGCGCAAACCAGGCTTGTTCCTCCTCTGAGACCCCTTCCAGGAATTTAAAGGGGCTGGTGACTCACGAAGGGCTAGCGGGGAGCTTGGTTATGTAACTCAGATAGACTCAGCTAAACGGCTTGGAATAGAGTCAGGCCGGAGTGTGCCCCTGTCAGAGCCTAAGCTCCTCTAGTGGCCCCTAGGTCCCCCGACTTCTATCCATATCAGGGAGAGGGTCAGATTAGCTGTAGGGAATCCACCTAGTTGCTGAGGACCCTCACCAGGGCAGTAGCCCAGCCATCATCACCCAGGAGTGTGGAGTGCTTATTACCAGGACAGTCCCCCTTTCTGGTAGGGCCATGTGGTAGCTACTGAGCTGTGGGCAGATGGCCTGGGTTAAGTAGGGCAGGTAGGTGCAGGGAGGTAGCTAGAAGGCTATGCTGGTCCCTCCAAGGATGATGGAGGGAGCCACAAATCCACCATGGGTCTGTGGGATCCCCAAAATTCTTCACCAGAATGAAGGAGAAAGTGTCTGAAATTGTCATTTGTAAGAATCAGATCTGCTCTGTCCCCTTACGCCCCTTCCCTTCTTGTCCCTCTTGTCCCTTCGGGTCCAGGACAGGCAAGAGGAGAGAGAGACATGCCTGCACCCCGTAGAAGGCCCCTTGTTCCACCTTTGTCCCTTACACCCCATGGAAAAGCCAGGGTACAGAGCTGGCATTCATTAGCTTCCGTGATGTCACCTCTGCCCTTTCCTGCTTGGCTTGATGGTATTCTGGGTCTGCTCCTTGTCACAATTTTTCTTCAGGACTGACCTAAGAGGGGCAGGGTCTGCACCAGCTGGCTCCCCTCCCTCTTCTGAGCGGTTGCCTGGGCACAGTCCCTGCGTCTGGCTGTCTGCTCTCTCAGGGCATTGCTTCCACTCCTTAGTCCTGCTTGTGTTTTGACCACAAGGGCTGCTGGGTTGGGACAGCAACAGTGGTGGGAACATGTATCTTGCTGCGGGACAAGACACAGTGTGGAGGTAGGTAATGCCGTGTAGAGAGGCTCGGAGATGCACTGAGCATCCTGGGTTGTGCTGGATGGGATGCCCAGGGTCCATGGGCTTACAGTGTGCCTCATTCCTCATTGCTCCCTGGGAAGATCGCCCGGCAAGCAATAGGATGCACAAGAAATGCCTGTCCAAGCTTAAATGTGTCAGCATGGCACAGTGCCCCTATTTTATCAAGTCCCACTTTTGTGCTTCTCCCTGGATCTCTACAGAAATCCAGAAGAGAGAGAGAGAGAGAGAGAGAGAGAGAGAGAGAGAGAGAGATTCCAGCCTTAGGCTTAGACGTCCTCCTGCTCCAAATAGATATCACCTCTTCAACCTGGCTTATTGAGGGTGAATCAC